AGGTGAAGGCTGAAACTCTAGTAATTGGTCCGCAGGGAGAGTTTTAATAAGCCAATCGCAAAGCCTTTCATCTCACTCATTTTTGAAACTATCCAAATTCTGTGGCTATTTCTCCACCATATTCTCCAAGCTTTTCAAGTACCAATAAAACAATCACTTAAATCCCTCCGTGCACAAAATTTCTGTGCCGTTCATTTATTGCTCGCCAAAACGCCTTCCAAATAATTTGGGAAGGAAAAGCAATAATTAGTTTTTTTTGCTCTAAGCTTGTCTTTTACAAATCCCATTAACATGAAAATGTTCAAAAAAAAAAATAAAGCTGTCGATCATCTCAAAATGTATGAATTGTTGAAGGGAGGAGACCAGTGGCTTGCATGTGGAGAGGTTTACTACAACGGTCAAAAGGTCATCCAAGGACCAATCAGAACCTGTTACTGCAGATGAAAAACCTTCCTGTTACAGTAGGAACCAGTGGAGCCGCTGACATCACTTGTTGCCACGCAAAATATTCGCTCCCAAAAATACATTGGGTTTTTGCCAGGCAGCAGTGTGTGTGTGTGTGTGTGTATTTCAGGCTGTGGATGCGTTTGGCTCCCCCTGGTGATCAAAAAGCGCCACTGATCCTTCCCCCCCTCTCAGTTACAGTACAGTACAGTATATGGCTTCTTTGTGACTTGAATTAAAACGGTATTTGTAAGCAACAAGCGAGCAATGTAAAATGACTTCCAAAATCCTCCACTTGGTATAGTAGACATAAACTTGTATGGATATATCCTCTGAATATTTTAAAGGGTTCTAAGGGGATCACGACCAGCAGGTTTGTAGTATAAATATTACTATCTGTATAGCTGTGCAATGTAGGAGAGAAAAACTATGACTCCTCTGTTATAGTTGCTGTAATATGTACTGATAGGCACTTGATAGGCATATTCCCTATATCCCAAAAGGTATTGTATACTCTCAAACTATCTGTAATCTTTCTGTGTGGACACCATGACTTAAATATATATCTGTATTCACTATAATGCGTAGTACTGTAGAAGGACAAAGATGCAGTGAACTGTATTTCAAAGTAAAAAATGTATATGCAAACAGACAGAACGCCTATCTAAATAAAATGCTCCAACATGCCCCTAAACCCTTTTTACTGTTTTTCCATTACCTTGTTTTGCTATGTATACTATGCATATATTATAGTACACTTTGAAAATATCATTATCCAGTTGCGTGAAGCTATGTATAAACAACACCACTATTATCACCAGAAATAAAATAAAAAAAGATGCAGGAAATAAACTATGAATTAAACATACGGCAAGCAGGACGACGTTGTGTTGTAGACCCTGTGTTTCTACGCTAAGATAAACAGAACAGTATTATATTGGAGACACATTACAAACAGCTGCAGGCTCAAGGCTATTATCTACTCAATATGTATTTTGTTCTGGAAAAATATGGTACAGTTTGCAAACATAAATTTTTTTTTTTTATCAAACTAACAACTAGAAGAAGCACAATTAAAGATTATTTTTTGAATGTGTTTTTTTGTTATTTTTTTTGCTTTTTATTTACTTAATTTATTTCAATATGTAAAAAGATGACCACGACAAGTAGCTGAAGCAGAAGGCTATTATCGTAGAGCATGTGATGCCAAAAGAAAAGGATTAATGGACAAGGCCCGGGACTTTTTGCTATAGCACAGTTTTGACACTAAACAAGAGTTCTTCCCATATACTTTGAAAGCCCGCTCTGCAATCAAAAACACCACTATGATACAAACAAGACAAGCGGACAAGTTATTAGCGCTCGTCCAGATCAAATTGGCTACTTTTGATATTCTGACACAAAAAGGAAAAACAGAAAAAGTGGAACAATAGATTGTCTGAAATTATAAATAACGGCACTGAGCTACTTAATCTACTACTGTATTGAAACAAATAATACAACAAAGCTGGTTGAACTATAGCTACAGTCAATAGTGCATTTTTGATATATGTGTTCACACAAAAATATGCAAAAAAGTTACGGTGCCATGAAGGAATGCTTAGTAACATGCACTGAAAAATTCTCTGCCTTTGCTTTTTTTTTTTTTTATCCTTATTTTTTTTTTTTACTTTTGAGAGATGGTTTTGGCAGTGTTAAACTAGAAACAGACAACTTCAACAAGCTGTGTGCCAGAACAAACATGTGGCAATACTGTTGGAACGAGAGATTTCGGCAGTTGCTTATAGTATATTATATTTAGTGCATTGTCTGTTAAGGCAAGAGATTCACCCTCCACGTGCTGTCTAGAGACAATACAGCACTATTACTATCACGCAGCAATACCGCCGTCCTGGCAACAGCTACAACAAGAACAATACACTTTTTAGGTTTTTATGCAGACCAGAAAGGACAGGCCCAATCAAATGTTCAATAGTGTGCTACTTTTCCCCCTCCCCACACGCGTACAGTCTATAGTTGCAGTTGGACCTCAGAACAAGTGTGACAGGCGATCGATGAGCCCCAAGAGAAAGCTGCTCCTCAGAGTACCTGTGCTGCATATTGCAACGGAAGCCCTACAGTTGAGATAACCACTTGTCCACAGTTTGATTAGGCTGAGACACACGGACACTCACACAAACACTAAGGACTGCGCACAAAGGGACAGATACTGAAGAAGCTGCATTCCTCCAACACGACAGAGGTCTAGGATACAGAACTGTATGTGACACACACATAGGATAAGTATTATTTATATCATCATTATTAGCTCCGCCAACTCACATAGTATTAAAACTGTTGCTTGGATTGAATGTCTTAAATGTCTCAAATAATATCACAAATAATTTATAGGGAATTGATGCCATAAAAACAAAAATCTAGACATTTATGAGCACAAATTAACATATACAAATTGAATGCTTGCATTATAAAAGCACAAATATGTGGTGCAAATAAGAGCAAGCCTAAAAAAAGAACTGTGAGAGTGTCAACGTCTACAACCAATGTTGAATGAACAAAATATTTCTTTAATGTCTTTGTTACAGTAGTGCACTTATTGGTTTAAGCAGTGCAACATATATGCAAAAAAATAATGCAGTCCACTTTTTTTTTTTTTTGAACTTGAATAACTGATATTTATACACCATTTGAGGAAAAATAATAAAATGTTCAGCACAGGCATTTCAAGAAAACGTGCAAAGTAGCACTTTTTCTGAACTGTGCCGTAGTCTTTTCAAGACCATCTCATGGTGTTTATTATTCTAAAAGAATACAACTGAGAAAGAGTTCACTGACACAACAGAGCTACTCCTTCAGTCTGCAGAGTGTGTGAGTGAACTGTGTGTGTGTGTGTGTCCTCACTGGAGACGATACAAAATGATTATCATAAAAGCTTCAAACGATGTCATGCATGAAGACATTAAATGTCCACTCTCCTCTGCACAAGCTCTGACTTGGCTGTAAAAAACAGGAATGTACACAACTGTCTACACCGTGTGGTATTTCAGAAACAAAGCTACTTGTTTTCCTTAGCGCCTCTAATTCCTCTCACAACGTCGCAGGCCATTTGAGCCTCGGGGAGAGCCAATCCATCAGGCACAATTAGCTGCCAGCTGCTAAAATGGCTCTGCGATCGTAATGAACAGGTTATACAGCGACGCCAGGATCACGGTGGCATTTATTTTCAATTCAAATTTGATTCAAATTGAAGTCGTCCCTCTTTAACACCATTTGAATAAACAAGTAGCCTATCCCCCTCTTTTTCTATATCACTAGATTATCAAATAAAAAAATGGAGCTTAGTCCAAAGCAACTATTTTATAGCCGTAGTTTTTATGTGCAACCCATAACAGTCAGGTGCAAGTGAAGAGCAGCAGTTATGAAGGTGAATCGTATTTTTGAGCCTGCCATACATAACTGTAGATGGAAAAGGCTAATGTCCGCTATTTGTCTTTTCTCACCCTAAAATGGAAGAGGTCTAGCCTTAACAGTCTTTAAAGATATTAGTGGCAGTGTATGCAAACTACAGGACATGTGTATATATATCGATATATATATATTTCTACATATACGTTATATATATATATATATATATATATATATATATATATATATATATATATATATATATCGTTATATACATAAATACTCATTTTCACACTTCAATTTAGTAAACAAATGCATCATATGCATGGACAAGAATTATTAACACCTAAAGTGTTTCCTCCCATAGTGTGTAGGATGATTGTTATGCACTGATCAGAAGTTGCAATATAAACTCTTGATAACATGGGAATACATTAAACCAGTGTCAAATTAACTATACTCTGATTATTTTCTGACAGAAGGCAATCTTGTGACCATCAGTATTTTTAGAGGGAATATTAACTCCACCCACCACTCTGCTTATTGTTGTCAATGGTACCACAGTAAGCTTGGACGCAGAGTTTCCAAACTGGTCAGTATGGGTTTCGGCTGCTGTGAGTTTGGCTCCAGGCAGCTGTATCTCACACACACACACACACACACACACACAGGCACGCTCACACAGTCACACACACACACACGCACACACACACACACACACACACACACACACACACACACACACACACACACACACACACACACACACACACACACACACACACACACACACACACACACACACACACACACACACACACACACACACACACACACACTCACCCACACTACAGTGTGTCTGTGTGTTTGTGATCACTCTAGGCCTTTCGGTAGTGTTCAACACATAAATCAGGATTTTAGGAAAGCATACATTTAGAGGCCTGTAGTTAGGATCCATCCAGTAGATCAATATCAAACTACTAAGCCTTAAGGCCACCATCATTTTTTTTTCTTTTAGAATAACAGAAAACAATTGGGAAACTTAATGTGCCAGTGTCTATACTCATTATTCTTCATACATCAAAATAAGAAAAGCAAAAATCTAGTGCCATTTTTTGTCATTCTTTCTGAAAAGGTTTATCTATTTGTACTTATCCATCAGGGACATGCTTTCGCATGTGATCATTGAAGTTTTCAATTTGCTCAAACTTGGCAGGGCACACGGAGCACACATAGGTGGTCCCATCTTGGCAGCTCGCCTCAGCAGCAACGCCCACACCCATCCCTACACCTGCGCCCACACCCGCTCCTCCTCCTACAGGCATAGCAAGGGCTACTACACCTGCTCCAGGCTCGGGCTTCATCATGACCCCTGTGCCCACGCCTGCCCCTCCTCCGGGCATAGCCAGGCTTACCACACCCGCCCCTGGCTCGTTCTTCAACATGGACATGGACACAGGGCCCGGTGTCCCGCCAGCGTCCGATATGCCGATGCCCATGACCGATCCGCCTGCACAGTGCAGAGCCATGTGACGCTCCAAGAGCGTTTTGTGGGAGAACTTCTTCTTGCAGATGTAGCACTCGTAGGACTTCTCTCCGCGGTGCAGGCGCATGTGCACATTGAGCGAGCTCTTCTGGGTGAAGCGCTTGTTGCAGATGCTGCACTGGTAGGCGCGCACCCCCGTGTGTGTCACCATGTGCTTGATTAAGTAATCCTTCAGGGAAAACGAGCGCCAACAGATGCTGCACTGATGGGGCTTCTCACCTGGAGTAAACAAGGACACAGCGTTAGGGCCGAGCAAAGGACACTGCAAAGAGACAATTAGAACCAAAGGTGCATTTGTCATACGTCTCAGTCGTTGCTTTTCTTTGTTAGTGCAATTAAACGACGACAGCAAATGTTCTGCATTTACCTAGCTCATATGAAACCAGGAACACCTACACATACAAAGTCTAATCCAGTTTAAACGGCACTCTGGTTGGAGTTTGTGCATTTGGATACAAAGGTGTCAGCGAGAACACAGGTGTGTGATTATAATGATCAGACTCAGACATATGTGTTGCAGCCAGTAGAGATTTGGTTCAAGGCGAATGGTAAAGCGACTGGAGTCCTGCCAGTGCCATTGGCGCCAACATAAACGATGTAACAGCTTTAACTGTAAACTTTTGCAGTTACACGCAGCCTGCAGCCAGACGTGTTACTTTGCGATTGGAGGCGCTCACCTCAGGCTAGAATTATTTAAACCTGTGTCATCTTGTTAAACCAGAAGATCTGTTAAGTCCTGAGCATAGACATGTTTTTTATTCTCACAAAACCAAAAGGCATAGTTTACAATCAAATATTTCTAACTCATTTAAAGACAATAGCTGAATGCTTTTACTGGGACCACATGGCAAGTGCTACATCATTAAAGTCTCACACAGTGTGTCTGTGATAATAACTCAATATGAGAAATAACACTTGCATGGGATTCTTGGAGTGAACTGTGGTCTTCACTATTTAATGTAAATTCTTTTGGATTTTTTTTTTCTTTGAGATTATTATTGCATAAACTACGTAATATTATTTCTTACTTACCCCCCCAATGAAACAGCTTTATAGAAGTATTTTTATTAGTTAAACTATAGTTATAGTCCAAGATGAAAATGTCACTGACATCCGACCAAGGTTCAAAATAGATATAATAATCAAATGTAATTTTATTCAGTGGGCATCATATGAATTAAGACTGTTTGAATAAGTGCTGATATGAGTATGCTTATCCAGTCATTTATTCTCTTTTGAACTGCCTGACACAATCTGTCACACAAAATTTAAAGAAAAATGAAAAAAATATAAAGTGAACAAACATATTTTTGCATGTTGTATTCTGGTAAAATGCATGTATTACCATGTTCGTCACCAGAATGGCAGTAAAAATGCATGACTGTATAAATTATGAAAATCTGACGGGAATTGCACTTTTCTACTTGTTTCACCAGGATCTCACCTTCTAGCGCAACTCCAATCTGAAACTAACTTTGAAATAATAACTAAAATTGCTTGTGGAACAGGTCTGAATTTTGAAGTGCCACCTGAGACATGTTATGAGGAGTGTTATCACGCCTTACAAAGTTTCACTTTACTGTTTTCATTAATTAAACATTTTAATTAACTATTTCACAGATGCTTCTGCAGAAGTTTTAGATAGTTTTTTTTTAGACAAGGGATACGGTACACAGTGTACAATGAACCAGAGTTACCACGGCAGTAAAACGGAGGTAATATAAAAATAGACGGACTCACCAGTGTGGACAAACATGTGTTTGACGTAGTTCTGTTTGGCAGTAAAGGTCTTACTGCACAGAGTGCATTCATAGGGCTTCTTCTCCCCCTGACTCAGTCCGGTGCCCCCCTGCTGCTGCACGGGCGACTGAGGGACGGGGAGAGGGTTTGGGAACGAGGGCATGTTAGGAGGCTGCACGGCCATGAATGGGGACTGCTGCTGACCGGGCAGGTACAGGAAAGGCTTGTTGTTGCTGGGCGACTGAGTGGGGAAGAGAGTCGGCAGGAACGTGCTGCCAGCGCCCATGAATTGGGCGTTGCTGGTCACATTTATCTGCATCCTCGGGTTGCTGGTGTGAGTGTACTGTGGGGCACTTGGCAAGGGGTGAGACATGACAGAATTTGGCAGGGGTTGCATTATACTGTCACTAGTGCTGTAGGGTGTGTCTGTGTCCTCCATGTCCTGGGGCTGTTCTGGGGACGAGTCATTGACCTCTATTTGCACTGAGGTGCCAGCAGAGTGGTGGGACTCTCCTGTGGTCTCTCTGCTGAAGCCCGTCATGTAGCCCGACTGCTGCTCTGTGGCCTCTGGCTCGTTACTCAGAGTGGAGCTCACCCCAGAATCAAAGCTCTCTCCTTTGGACTCGCTCTCGGCCGTGTGGTCACCGTCCTCCTGGCACTCCGACAGGGGCTCGTAGCAGCCGTACTCATCCACATCCTCCTGTTTGATCTGCACTCGGATGGGTCTGGACTGCTTGCGACAGTGGGTGGTGGACTCAGAGAAGCGGTCCCCCTGAAGGGAGCGTTCCTGTAGCCGGTGCATCCAGGGCGGGTCCTGGGCCTGTTGGTCTTTGTGAGGCCCCAGAGCTGGGTCATAGCTGGACAGAGAGCTGATGTAGTGGGAACGATCCTGTTTTCCGTTCAGCTGGGACAGATTGGTGTAACTGTACAGTGATGAAATGGTGCGCTCCACATTTTGCTGTGATGGTGTTTGCATATAGCTGGATTCTGCATCACTGCTGGGTCCAGAGGTCCCAGACTCGGGTGTGCCTCGAGGGGTGTCCTGTCCCGAGTCAGGGATGATAGGGAAGCCTCCTGGGCCGGCCAGGCCCACGTTCTGAGACACGATGCGTGTGCACTCATCGATGACTGTCTTGATCTGGAGGATGCTGGCGGCCGTGAGGATCTGCAATGCCTCAGACTGAGACACGCGCAGGATCCCACTGTACATAAAGTCTATGAGCTTCTGAACGGACTGTACGGAGACCACCGACGGGATCTCAATATCGCTGTAGCCCAACAGTAGCTTGTCTTGAAAGAATGGGCTCCCAGCGGCCAGTACGCAGCGGTGAGCTCGCAGCATACTTCCATGGATTCGAACCGTCACGTCACAGAAGTGCCCACGGTTACGTTGCTCATTGAGGGTCTCGAGAACAGAGTTACTAAAGTTATGAAGGTTGATGTTATGAATGCGCTCGGTCATCCCCTTGCAACTGAGGTCACCTGCAGCAACAAAAAACAAATGTTTCATTAGTATCAAGAAATTGTATTTTTCTCATATCTGATGGCTCTGCGTCTATAATGTACATTACAAGCCATGTATTTTATCCTATATCCTTAGAAGTGTTATGCTTTTATTCTGGATTTTGGCTTTGTTACAAACAGGACATGCACCCTGTTCCAGTGCAATGGGTGCGCTGGTTTTAGTGAGGTTCCCATCTCCACCATTAGATGGAGCAGTGGGCTCACAGGACACAAGCTTCTTTTGTGTTGGCCATGTGTTCGCTGAGATGGCGCTCACTGCTTATAAGACTGCACTGTGACCTCGATGCTCCATAAGTTACAACTTTTTTCTTTTATTAACTAAATATATGACATGTTAATTACTTTTACACTAGTTCAGTACATATTTATAAAATACAGTAATATTAACAACAAAAATAATGATGACTTTATAGTAGCTATTAAAGTTGTGGAACTTTATGTAAACCAAATTTAAAACCTACTTAAAACTAGTTTTCTTTTCTATTCAAACTGGGTAAATAGCTGTAAATATTTTTGAAACAATTACTTTCCATAGTGACAGCAACATAAAGTCTATTTATAAACCCAGTTTATGATGAAATCGTGTGCAATCCATTCGAAGTAGTCCAACTGTCTGTACCGCGGACAACCATATTGCAACAAACGATTTCAGTACATTGAAGTAAATGTATATTTGTTAGATAATGTTCCATTTCTTATACATTTTGCTTGCATGACTTTGCTGAGGGCCACTGGTGTAGAAGTTGCACTGAAGCGTACTCACAGTCCGATGCCGTGGTGAGTGGTGGGAGTTGTCGCTGGTGATGGAGGTGCTGCGGGTCAGGCGTCAGGTTTGCTGCTGGTGAGTGAGAAGACTTCTCAGAGGCCGGCGCTGCTCCTTCTACTGTCACTCCACTCGGCCCAAATCATGTGTGCCGCTCTGCCACAATGTTTGGAGAGAAGAGAGAGAGGGAGAAAAAAGACAAAGACAAATGTTAATAGCACACACACACACAGACTTAATGTTATTGCCACTCCCTTAATGAACCCGCTCACGGTAGCACCAGATATCTACCCCGCAACACGCTGCAACAGATGCGCGAAGAAGAGGAGTTTTTAACATGCAGACCAATGACGGGCCTGTGCACACATGACCTCCAATTACAAAGCAAGGGAGGAAATAAGATTGTTTTTATGGTTTGGAGTTCTTCACTGGGTATCTCTATGAATGGACAAAAACCACGCCCGTCTAAATAAAAACACTTTTAACTTCACTTACGATTAATGTTTCCTTTCCTTTTTTATAAAGTGTTATGCCTTGCGCTGTACAAATAAACTGAAACAAAAGACAAAAAAATAATTGCAAACCAGCCCCATTTTTTAAACTACGACCAGAATTGGCTTGAGATTTAATAGAATTTCAAACACAGAAGTCATTCATTAAAAACACAAAAAGGCATTGAACGACACAAGCATGTGACAAGCTGATTTTGGTGAGTTATCTTTTTCATACTATACCCGTCCAAACATTGGGATCGAGCTTGACCTTGTAGCTGGGGACAAAATGATGTAAACCGCATTAAAAGTCTCATGGTATCATTTAAGGTCATGCTCTTGTGCGATTCAAAAACAATTACACTCTCATTAGTTTCACGCTGTTGCTAATGCCTTCCTTAGACATGGTAACTTTCAATCGTGTTATTAAAAGTATGGTAAAACTATGCTCATGTGTTTCTGCCCCTAATACCGATGTTATAGAATGAAGAATGTTTTCATCACTCAACACCTGCATTTGCCATCTAACAGCTTGAGAACCTGCCAAATAAACTCAACAGCAGTTTAGGATTTGACCAGACCTGCACCAAATTAGAGGCACATACTGTTCTTCTTAGTCAAATAACATAACTAAAAGGTCACTGAAATAGAAACTAAATGCACCTACAGGGCTTTCCACATAATGTTTAAATATGCAGGGAATAAAAAAACCGCAAAAAGCGATTCAGTTTATACATTTTGGTTACAAAATTCTTCCTGGTAAAATTCGAACTTCCATTTTGATTAAAAGGCAAATCTGAAAGAACATTTAGTATGTATAAGTATGTCTATATTGTACGGTACATTACTTGTAAAAGCAATACAAGTACATCAGATTGTAGAGTTAGATTAATGCCCGGTCTTGACGTTTGCATTCTAAAAAGCAATGACACAGCACAAAACACTGGCCACCGAGTTAGACAATTGTATAGTGCGTCTGTTGACAATAAACATATTCATACGTACTGTCACCAGACACCACATTATATAACCAGTGTTTTTATATAAGCTCAAATGCTCTGGCCAAGCAGCAACCATTTTGGAGTTTCCAAGTTAAAGGAGGAGGCCTATAAGCTGACTAAAAATATTCATGAAGCTAAGGATAGGGGCTATGACCCGTGAGACAACTATACTACTTGTGCTTAGTACAGCTGCAGTTAGATTGATAGATGCACTTGGATTTATATTTCGATGACTGCTGTGGGCAAGCATCACAATCACTGTTGCATGTGTTTTGCACCAGTTGATTGGCCTCTAAAGAATATATTTTAATGAAATAAAGTAATTCCTTTGAATATAAAAAGAAACAATTTTGCGTCAGACAAACTCACTTAGTTGAGTTTTTATTTTAAGGGTGCAGGACTTTTTATAATTGAATCAAGCTAACGATGTCAGTACTTTTTATGTAGCTATGGAATTGTGACTGGAACATTTAATAACACACATGGAGTTATAGAGATATAATTTTCAGGTGTCAATCAAAGGCATACAGGATGTAGAAGATTTGATACAGGCTTCGGTTTTTGTTTTAGTAAAATGTTTGCTTGTTTATTGCAAAAAGCGGCTTTTGTGTTCTTGCAATGTTTATGACAAATGAGGATTCAGTTCTGACAAGTAAAAGCATGCAAAGACAGATCATGCAGCATTAAGACGGGCGGCTCTTTAGAAAAATACTTTTCTTATATCCAAATACGGTTCGGCACAAAAATGTGTTTGCAAAGGGATCACATTTCAGACACCGGGTCAAAAGCAAAAATAAGACACTTCTGAACTCCCTCTCAATGGTAACCAGGATGTGTGTTCCTGACAACCTCTAAAAACTCCTTACAACCATTACGGCTGCATTACACATAAAAAAAATACATATTCAATTACAGAGAGCACATTTTTTTCATTTCATAAGGAGAGCACAGACACATTTGCCAAAATGCTGGAATCCACCAGAATGGCAAATATTTGACCTTTTGCTGTTTTCTCTCCTGCTGCAGGGATGGCTCGTGATGTAATTGAGGCTGGAGCCTTGGGCCTTACAGCTAATGCCTGGCACAATGCAGACATATATGTGTAGTGCGTGGCATCCCGGGCCGACAGCCGTGGAAATGCACCTGCCCGAGGGGTAACGTGAGGTGAGCTTTGGCAACAAAGGAGTAGGCCAAGACAAGCGGGCTCCGGTGGCCCAGACTGCCACTCACCACAGTGATTCCATTTTAGCCGTGACACAGTGGGTGAGCAGCAGCCAGAGCCTACCTGCAGTGAATTCTAATCAGCCCAGGGGTCTACCTCCCCCTCCCTCCCCTTCTCCATCCTGTACCCTGCCTCGGACTAAAAGGGCTGATGATCCTTCAAAATTAATTAGGTTCTTGTAAGAGGCGGCCATTTTCTTTCACTTATTGCTCCAACTAAAACAAATTTTTAAATCAAACTACATTCAGGGTGTGTGTTTTTCTGTCCAGTATTGATCTCCTTGTCCAGGCTTTTCTTTCTACCTGCTTCCTGTTTCATCACCTCTTTCCCCATCTTACCTCCCATCTGTCTGTCTGTCTGTCTGGCCCCCTCCGCCCCTCTGCCCCCCTCCCCACGCCCCTGTCTCCTTGCACCTCCTCCCCTCTCCTCCTCCTCCTCTTCTGCTCCAGCTCTGCGTCTGCCTCTGTGGAGTTCGCTGTCAATAAATCCCCAGAGGTCAGTTTGTCTGCTGGAAATCAGACACAATGCTTCAGACCGCCAGTGCAATGCATGCTCTGCTGCCGCCGCCACAACAAAGACAGTGAGGGAGGGGTCTAAGGAGGAGACGGAGGGGGCGAGGGGGGTGTTGTACCAAAAAAAAAAGAGGAGGAGGAGAGAAAAATGAAGACGCTGGGGGAACACAGGCAGAGCAACTTCAGCACGTAGACTCCAGGTTAATCAGACTCATGTATTAGGTGACAAGCTGGTGAAATACGCCACATTGAATAGAACATTATTTAATCAAGTGTGCTGTGTGTATGGGGGTGTGTACAGGGGGGCAGGGGTTGAGACAGCGCATAAGAGGAGTGCTTATGAAAGAAACAGCCATGTGAATAATATACATCTTGAATATGCAAATAGTGCTTACAATGCTCACCGCAAGCATATAGTGAAGGCCCAGGCTCGATTTGAATGTGAGACAAAAGGGGGGGCCAAGGGGCAATGGCACAAGCTCAAGTCCATGCAAGTGCATACAGTATGTTGATGAAGACGCGCTGTATTGTATAGCACCTAATTCATGGTAATTTATGAGTTTGTTTGAAACCTCTGCCTCTTAACGATCACTGTCCAACGCTGTAATTATTAATTTCAATGATCCATTTAGCACCAATTGCATTAGCATATAAACTAGCAGCAATGACGCTTTAATGGTATGGTCCATGCTGAGTGTAGGAACATCTTCATCATGTTTTGGAAACGTATAGCTAAGCTATGACAAGGTGCCAAGATATACACTTCAATCTGGATTAACTTAAAATAATGTGTTAAGTCTGTGTTTCCGTGGCTTTGGGCGCCGTTAAAATATTGTGAACAGACTTGTCTTCTTGACAATCTGCAGATGGAATACAAAGTTATTTGAAGTGTCACATCTCTTGTTGCATTTAAGTGTTTGCCTATAATGTTGTGAGGCAATTAACAGGTAATGTAACTAATGCACCTAAATCACACACACTTAGCAGTTAGCGGCAGAAGACTCCACTCCTGCTAACAACGGCAGATTTAATTGATTTTCTTTCATGGCAGTTGCTGAAAATCATCAACAAGCAAACGTAGGCTGTTGACAAGGTGTGCCAAGATTTTCACTTTGCTTGTGATGGACCCCCCTTCTCCCCCCAGCTTTCTTCTTTCCCATCGTGGTACAAGGAAGCAAGCATTTCTAAAAGAATGTATGAGATGACTTAAGTGTTACTGAACTTTCAACAAGTTTAAGCAAAACTATCTCAAGGATCTATCACAGGGTCCCTGAAGTACTTTTGGACGTTCACAATAGGATGCTACAGCGCTTTGGGTGCGAGGCGGCGTGCAACTAGTTACACTGCTTTGAACAAAATGTACTTGTAAGATTTCATGAAACACATTTTTGACTTTGGTGTATATTTGAATGAAAATGTTACTATTTCTTGGTTATATTTGACTACATGTGGTACTTTCATCTTTCACCTCCGCTTCTACAGTCAGTTCCAACTATGTTTCTATATCTTACTTTCTTTTTGTTTCTTGGGATTTCCCACATACCTTCTGCCTTACGGTGATTTAATACATTTTGGTCATGTCTTTTTGTGCCGGATTCTTTTCAAATTATACATTACTGCCAAGATGATGGTATTTCAATATATTAAGCTGCGTTTATTTTCAAGATATTGTTCATCACTGCTTTAAAATATATCTGACATAAGAAAATAAGCAATAAAAGAGCACATGAAAGCCTTTTGGTGAAGCCTGCATCTTAGCAATGCACTTATAACGTTAGCCTTAGTAGCATCAGGATGGGTCAAATGCAGAGGACAAATTTCTCTACGGAGACGATAAGGTGTACATTTACATAAATGCACAAATAAAAACAGCTAAACAATTGTGTGAATTGTACGGGAAAAGCGGTATGGCAAGGCTGAATTTAAGAGT